CTGCAATGAACATTCGTGTGCACGTGTCCTTATAGTAGAACGATTTATAATCCTTTGGTTATATACCCAGTAATGGGATTGCTGGGTCAAATGGAATTTCTATTTCTAGGTCCTTAAGGAATCCCCACACTGTCTTCCACAATGGTTGAACTAATTTATACTCCCACCAACAGTGTAAAAGTGTTCCTAAAATAGGAACATTTTAACATGACGAAGATGATAAACCACTTGTAATGGTAAAATATTTGAAGTATTCCCTTTAAGATCCAGAAAGAAACATAATGCCCATCATTACCAAATATTTTTATTCAACATCATTACAGCAAGAATAGAAAAACTAATTAATCAAAGGTATAAGGATTGGAAAGAGAGAAATAAAGCCATCAGAATTCAAAGTATTATTTTCAAGTAGTATGTTACATGGTAATTTCACCTTCTGTCCCCTCCACTTCCCCACACCACAATTTATCTGGTTCTTCTCAAGCTATAAACACATCTTCATCCTTGTTAAAAACTCGAAGATCACAGCTTGAGGCTGTTTAAAGTCACAGATACCATCAAACATGTCATTCTAACCCAGTTTGAATCATTTCTATGCAGAGAGTATATCAAGCACTAGACACTTGGCAGCATTATGGGCAAATCCAAGCTGTTGTAACTTAAGAGATGAGCTAGCTGAAAGAGCGTTTGAAAACCCATGTACACCTCCAGAGGATCCTAGAGTTAACTTAAGTGCTCACTTCACAGTTCTTCCTCTCAAGCCCAGGGAAGTCTGAGAATGAGCATACTACTGTTAAGTTTTGTGATTTGCAGGGACAAAAGACAATGGCAGATTAAGGTTAAGTAAAAGGATCCAGACAACATAAGGTTTTCTTTTCATCTCCACCTTCCTCTACTTTCCCCTCTCTCCTGGCCTTTTAAAACTTCTCCTTAGGATAAATTGTCTCTTTCCTTTATTGAAAAGCATAATGGTTTCAACCCTGGAATCCCTTCTTCAAAAGAAATCTTCCTGAAAATTTAAGATATAAAACAAATGAATGCAGAACTGTTTGGTTCAAGGAATAGCTGGAAGCCAGAAACTCATTCTGATCGTCTCCCCCTTCCTTCTCCCACAAATACACAAAGGTCACCCTTAAGAACAGTTTGAAAAACCATTACACTGGTAATATGTGTGATTTCATTTGCTTAAATGGTCAACCTAGGGAATGACTTTGCAAGTTGCTCTTAAAGGGATAGATTCCAAGTAAGGTAGAATTAAGCAAATATAGCAAGCAGGTTTATTCACCAAGTTATAGAACAAGGGGTGAAATTCCACATCTATAGCAATTAGTTCCTAACATCAAGTATAAAACACAAGAAAAAATTATTAAAATTAATGACAAGAACTGACCTGCTCAGAATTGTTTTTGCCTGGACTTCAGAAATATGCATACCCAAAGATTTCAAAGCAGCAATTATTTCTGAGGCATCTATTACTCCTTGAAGAATGAAAAAATGTCAGGTTAAAGTATCTGAAAAGACAATAAGGCAAAATATACTTAGAATGTAAAAGGCTTTAAAATCCCATATGTTTTTGACCTATAATCCCATATCCACAAGTCAAAGCCTAAAAAACTTTTTGGAAAATTGGTACCATAGTTCATTTGGTGGCAAAATCTACTTTAAACTCATATTAGGTTAATTTTAGTCAATTACTTATCTAATTTATGTGAATATTCATGTTTCACTGCAGAAGTATTCATGCTGATAATTGTATGGTGATGCTCCATACTCCACTTGGAGTATTACGTAATACATCATATATGTACTGCATTACTTTTCCAAAATCCAAATTTTAAATTTCAAAACACATGTGGCCCCAGGCATTTCCAAATGAGACTGTAGGTCTATAACAGATTCTTGACTACTATACCTACTTGGAAAGAATTGAAAAAGTAAATTCTGAAGATTTGATCCACAGGCATGAAAATAAGCCCAGTCAATGTTTTTTAAGGTAAGCTTTAAAATAAACAATTTACTTAAAACACAACACCAAACTCTTTTAACATACCATACACTATGTTAAATAACTCAAATCAACTAATATATTTAAGCCTACTGTGCATTTTACAGTCAATGTTGAATTTTGTGAAGGGAAAATTAAGTAGTCCATATTCTCCTCAAACTCTGAAACACAAATCTAATCCTATCACTCTCCATGTCCAAAGAAACTTTGATTCCTCCCTTGTGCAAAGTGAATAGTTGAAGATATCCAATATTTTTAAATATAAGGACAACATTTTCATGTAAAAATAAATTAACTTTAGTGTCTCGTAGTTGAAAATACTTAATGTCAAAAAGCTGCTATAAATTTAGTCACATTTTTCATTTGTATTTACAAACCATAGTTGCCTATGCATACCTTTATATACTCACATATATATATAAGATATTACTTATTTGGCCAGTAGACAAAGCCCTTTATTCATCTGTAGAATTTCAGACTCTTGCCAATAACTAAAGGCCTCCAGTATTTCCAAGCACTACAGAATGTAATTTATTGGTCTATTAACCTAGAAATCAAAGTTTCTTTAATAGGGGAGGCAGTATCCTCTGCCTTATGTACCATTATAATCTTCAGATACTATACTCTTCAAGTTAATAATTTTTAAAATTTGAAAACCTACTATGTAAATCACTATACTAAATGTCAAGGAATCTATAAATTAATAAACATCCCCAAGGAACTTACCAATTTATATAGATGTACCAATTTCTTTAAAAATAATTACTGCTAAATGCATGTTAATAGAAGAGCTATGAATAAACTGCAATAGAAGGGTAAATAAAGGAGTAAATAACAAGAGTCACAAATGAGGCACTATAAAGGATGGACAAGAGACCACCAAGGAAACAAAAAGCATTTTAATAATAGGTGCCGTAAGAGCAAGATACACATCTTTATTTACCTAACAGTTATTGCAAGCTTACATATGATATTAGAAATAAGTAGAGTAAATACCTGCAGAAGAAGGATAGTGATATGGAGCAGGTACAAAAGGAATGTTTCTGAGTTGCTTCTAATAATCTACTTCTTAGTCTAGATACTGTTTTCATGCTATGTATTTGCCTTGTGAAAATTCATGGAGTTTACATTTATCATTTATTTACATATTTTGCAGTATATGTTATATATCAATGAAATCTTCCACAAAAAATCAGTAAGTCGGGGCAAAACTGGAAATGTCATTTAACCAGCTCTAACCTTGTCTGGTAATTTCCCCACTATGCCTTTGTTTAAGCTATTGTTTCTGATCAAGAAACCTTTCTTTTCATTTCTGTGTGTATATTAACCCAGAACAAATCTTCATTGTGTCCAGGCACAATTAAGTTCTCCTCAAGTCACTTTTATAACAATGATCGTAGTCTATCTTGTGTATAGCTATGTATGTCTTTTCTTACTCCACCCAAAACTGTGTTTTTGAAGACTTTTGTTAACGTTCTTCCTAATGCACTAGCTCACATATAATGCTCAAATACTGTTTGCTTAATTGACTAAAATATGTAAAGTAATCCTCACCTAAAAGAACCTAGAATTCAGACAAATATGTACTAAAAAAACTGTAATATAATCAAGGTCTACAGGCTTAAAGGGACATTCAAAGTTGTCTTTAATCATACGCAGGAAGCTTTCACAGAGAAGATGGAATTGAATTGAATAATAATATTTAGATAGATGGAAGGGAGGACTGCAATCATTCCAACAATGTAATTCCAGGGAGAAATGCAAATTATTACATTTCTGTACCAGTGACTATTGCTAAGTTACAAACCACCCCAAAATTTAGTGGCTTACAAAGAACATATTTAATCATGAATATCCAATCTGAGTTTGGTTCAACTTGTTGGTTCAATTGGTTGGTTCTTCTTCTGGTCTTATCTTGGTCATTCATGTAAATTTAATCAACTGCTGGTTCAACTGCAGCTGGCCAAGATGACTTCAATCACATGTCTGTCATCTCAGATGAGAATAGAGAACAGTTATGGACTAATTGGGTAACTCTCTCCATGTGATCTCTTTAGCTGGGTAGCTATGATAGCAGCAGGAGGCAGACAAATACCCAGGCAGAAAGGGGCAAGTTCCCGGTGAAACTCAACCATCAAACCAAAGACAGCCTAAAGTCTGAAAACTGAGCTACCAGAGTCCACAACTGAAGCAAGAACTTCCTCAATGCCTTTTAGTCAATCAAATGATGCTTTTTCCAGGCCTGCCCATGGATCAATCAGCATACATTCCCCTATTCTGAGTCTATGAAAACCCCAGACTCAGCTACACATTGTACTGCCCACTTTCAGGCCTGCTCTCACACAGAGGGCCACCTGCTCTTGGGTCCCCTCTCTGCTGAGAGCTTTCCTCCTGTCACTCAATAAAATTCTACCTGCCTTGCCCATGCTCCAATGGCCACATAACCTCATTCTTCTTGGTTATGGGACAAGAACCCAGAGCCTGCTGAAAAGTGGGAACAAAAAGGGCTATACCACTTTCTCGGCCAGCTTGCCAAGTTGTGGGCAGTGAAACGCTCCCATTTGCTGGACTACAGGAATGAAGAGCAACAACGCTTCTTGGGACCCAGACTCTGGAATTCCCCAAGATAGAACTATAACACTGTAGCCCTCCTGTCCTCTTCCAGCACTGGGCTGCCACCCCACATGATGGGAAGCAATGGCAGCAGGGCTGGGCCAGCCCAGGAGCTACAGCTGGAGCAGGATGGTGGGACCAAACAAGCTATGAAAGGCTCCCAGTTGCCGAAGTGTGTGGATGGCAGGAACAAATGATCTGTAACACAAACAAACTGTAACGTTTCCTGGGGGGCTCAGTGCTCAGGACTCCCTGACCAAAATGTGGTAACACTTCTTGGGGCTCTGCAGTTGCTGTCATCTCTGAGTTGTCAAGTGCTACTGCATCCCCCCTCATCCAATCACCAATTCTCAAAGCAGAAGCCATTCAAGGCAGCATGCCTAGACCAGTCATGGGCTGAGCGCAGAGCCAGCAGGTGTGAGATCCAGGCCAGCAGCATAAGCCAAATGCAGCCTGCCAGCCCAAGTGGGTGGAACAAGCCCAGTGAGCACAAGCAAAACTTGGACAAAGGCGCCATCAGCCACAAAGGTTTCTAGCTGGTGAAGATGCACCAAAAGAATCCTATGTCAGCTAGACTTCTTTTCTGGGGCTTACAGTGTTCAAGACATAGCACTCAAGAAGACAAGCCCCAACGTGCAAGTACTTATATCAAGATTTGCCCATGTCCCAATGGCTAAAGCAAATCAAATGGCCAACCCCAGGTCAGTGTGGAACATGGCAACACAAGGGCATGAATCCTAGGAGGTGGAGTTCATTGGGATAGCCAGTGTAAGCAAAATTATTTAACCTTCCTAACATTTAGAGTTCTCAACTATAAAATGTAGCTGCTGTAGCGATTTTGTGAGATAAAAATAAAACATGGAGGTTAAATAGATATAACAAATATGGCAAGTAGGAGAGTCCAATAAATGTTAGTTCCTTTTTCTACATTTCTTCAATCCCCAGAACGCTCCATCCAAAAAAACCTTAATGATGAAATTACATTTAATAATTACTTCATTCCCATATTTGCAACAGCATTCCATGGACATTTTGGCTGCAGGGAGCAGGGGCTCAGATGCTTTCTTGGTGAGTAACATGGTTTGGCTTCTGTCCACACCAAATCTCACCTTGAATTGTAATAATTCCCACATGTCATGGGCAGGGCCAGGTGAAGATAATTGGATCATGAGGGCACTTTCCCCCATACTGTTCTCATGATAGTGAATAAGTCTCATGAGATCTGATGGTTTTATAAATGGGAGTTCCCCTGCACAAGCTCTCTTGCCTGATACCACGTAAGATAACTTTGCCCCTCATTCATCTTCAGAAATGATTTGGGGGCCTCCTTAGCTATGTGGAACTGTGACTCCATTAAACCTCTTTCCTGTATAAATTACCCAGTCTCAAGTATGTCTATTAGCAGCATAAGAACAGACTGATACAGTGAGAGAAGTTAAAAGGTCAGTTCACATGGGGCCTTGCAGGCTTCTAACTAGTGAATTTAATAGTACACCAGCCCACATGCATCCACTTGCCTCCACTGATTGGCATAAGGCCTGGAAATCCTTCTAAGCAATTAAGTAGGGGCATTAAAAACGGAACCTTTTCTACTACTACTGTTTAACACATATAAACATGTGATGAACTGGGAGAGTCCCGAGAGGAACAATAGTGTCTGAAAGGACCAGAGGGAAGAATATTAAATAAAGTGAAAATGCTTACAATATAACATTAGAAGAAAAAAGGAAGATACCAAGCTATACACACAGTGTGACTGTGATTGCATTTAAAGAGAAAGGGAGGCAGAAAGAAAAAATTCTAGAAGGAAATATAAAAATGTATCAAAATGTTAAAACTGATCTTTAGATAGCAGGGTTACAAGTAACATTTACTTTCTTTCAGGACTTTTTTGTGTTTTCTAACTTTCCTGCAACCAATATATTTTTATAATCATCACAGAAGTAACAAATGTCACTGTTTAATTACCATAATAGTTTCAGCTTGTATATTGCAAAAAAAAAAAAAAAAAAAAAAAAAAAAAAAAAAGGAAAGGACTACTCACCAAGCAAAGAAATTTTAAATTTAGAAGTCATAGCCTTCTCAAAAATTATTGTATTAAAAAGATGGTAACCACATAGGAATTATAGTACTAATAAATATAGTTTATGTATTATTCTTAGAAATTTAAAAATTAGTGCTAGACAACTAGTAGAAATAATCCAATATTTGATAGTAGGAGTAAATTAAAGGCTACTAAAATACTAAAAGTGCCCTTTAGACTAACAATTATATTCATATTAAGTTAACTGTAGTTAAAAAACACATACCATCATCATTTTTGTCCAGACTATTAAATGCCAGCTTCATTTTCTTCTCATGGTCTTGAAGATACTGCATAAATTCTCTGAAGTCCAACACTGCATCATCGTTGGTATCTCCAGCCCTAAAAATTACCTACAAAAAAGAAGAAACTAATTGCACAGATGTACCATAAGTAAAGCCACTATACCATGCTAACATGTACACATTTCAAGTATCAAAACTGTGATTTCCATAAGCATCCGTTATTCTAGGTTTTCAGTAACATCTGCAAGGCTAAGTATATTAAGTGATTTTAAAATTTGTGTAATAGTAGATTAAGTAGTCACAATGCCATTTCAAATAATTATAAATCTATTATTAGTAATTATTTACCTGAAGTAAACAATTAATGCCAACTACATCAAAGGGATAATGACACTTAGATACATAGTCTTTGCCATTGGAGACCCGAAAAATCTGTTACCTAAATGAGATAAAGTAAGTGGAATTCCAGTATGTACCTCAGCATAATGGTTTGAGACCCAGCCTTATAAAGTGTGAGGGTATATTCAAGTCTTATTGGAGGCTTTTGCTTTTTTAAATAAAAATTTATAACAGTTTTTTTATAGAACAAGGGAAACATTTATTTAAAATATTTAACTGTCTGATACTTATAGTAAAGGATTCTTACAAGGAAGAATAAATGACTTTATGATATAATTAGTATAAGAAATATCCACATGGGGGATTTCTTGGTAGTATAAAAACACCATACATCCGAAATGACCATTTGCATATAAAAGCTTCCAATGATGCTTCTGTGCACAATGATTAAAAAATTCAACACAAACAGAATCCAAAATATACAATTAATGCAAGCTATTCACAAATAGCCCAATAATCAATGATGAGGAAACACTGGAGCAGGATTAGTTCCACTGTGTCTGAAGTTACACATAGTAAGATTGACTTGTATCAATGGCTCTGAGATGGCCTTTATGAAGTCAGTACATAAAAGCTATTCTCTCCTTATCCAGTAAGCTTCACAGACTGTAAAACTCCACCAGTAATGCACTTTGATACTAGGGTCGTTGCCAAAGCAAAATGTAGTGTTTACAGCGGCCATGTCAAGTTGCTAAAGTCATCAGTGCCACTCAGTCCAGCATCTGTTTCCAAGCCATTGCTGCTTCATCATTACTGGGACTACTTGATCCTTGGTCATTGTCAATCATGTCTATACCTATGTGGGGGTTCTCACCAAGAATAGAAGGACTATCAGAATGTGGATAACCTGGGTTCTCCTGAGCCTGGCCTGATAGAGGCCACTGGAAGGAATGTCTGGAGTCCTTCCATTTAAAATCTTCTTGCCTCCTGGAGAAGAGGCATCAGTGGGAGGCATACTCGTGATGTTCAATGGGCTGGAGCCACAGCTAGAAGGCGACAACCGTCTTATCCTGTGGATTTCCATGATTTCCTTAGCAATCATTTGGCCTATTTTTCCTGCCCCAGCCCAGGGTCCCCCTGAAATCCCTGGAACAGTAGGGTGGGTCCCCCTCTTGGGCCACCTTCTTCAGAGGGCAGCATGCTGTCCATGCTGTTGGGGGGATGCTGTGAGCTGAAGGTAGGTTGGGTCCTCACCTTCCAGGATGTTGGCTAAAACAACAGTGTTAGCTGAGGCAATGTATTCTATTTGCTTGGTCCAAGGATTCATGAATCTGAGCCATCGACTCCATAGTGTGATGAAAGAACCATCTTTGATTTTAAATTTATAGCAATTAGTTGTAATTTTTTCTCTCATCTGTAAAACTTGCCTATGACATTCTGCAAGATGTCCTATGTCATCTTGGTGAAAATATTCATAACATGATGTGCCTAGAAGTTCTTGTGGTAAATATGCCAAAATAGCCATTGCCCTCTGGTCTACAAAAACAAACTCCCCATCTATTGCGTGCTGAGAAACATATTCCATAGATTTCACCCTGATTTCCCCCGTTGACCGGTTGTGGAACTACAGGAGAATGCAGTCATCCAATTGCGACCAGGCAGCTGAGGTTACACCCCTCGTTGTCTGGTTGTCTGGTTCTTTGTCTTCATCCAGCCCCATCTTTGTGGGTGGCCAGCTTTTCAAATAGCCTGTGCTGTGGGTTGTGCAGAAGCTTTTTTTGATCTTTTTTCTTTGAGCAGGTAGAGGGGAAGTCTTTGTCTTCAACCCTTACCGAAGGCCTGTTACACTTCATCCTACAGAAGAAAGAACGTCATGCTCCAGAACATGATCGAGATGGCCCAGGGGTTATATCTGTTTTAACTGGAAGTCCAGTTTTTGCATCTATGAGCTGCTCCTGGGGTGCGGTGTCCGAGGAGGAGAGTTGCTCCTTGACTTTGGCGATATCTTTAGGATGCAGGTAGTCAAACAAACTCTGACCAATCAGATCATTCTGGCTGTAGCTGAGGATCTTGAAGACAGACTCTGAGACAAAGAGTATCTTCCCTCGGTCACATCCTACCACAAACGAAAATCCATCTGCTGCACTGAGAATGAGGTGTTTCAATTTATCGTCTGATAGAAAAGTTGGTTTGTAGTTTGCTTCTGTATATGGATTGGTGGCACCTCTTAATGTTTTCATGTGCTGAACAGCCATCCTCAGCACAGTAAGTTTATCTAATTTCCTGAACATTGCATTGCATGTTGGTACCAAAGAGGCCAATTCATCTATAAAACTGTTCATTTTATTCTGACACCGCTTTTCAATCTGTGAGCTTCCCTTGCATTTTTTATTCTTTCTTGGTGTTCTGTGTATTCTAACCTTCCATGAGGGTCATCTTTGTCTGTGTCCATGCTTTCTATATTAATCATAGCATCTCGGAGTGGGCATCTGACCTCCAGCTATCGTGCTCCCCAAATTCGACATGTAATCAGTGAAGCTGCCTTTCCGTTTGCAGTTGCAATCCACACCACTGGTACCAAGAGAGCTGGACAGCAGGTCAGTGGGGCCCCGGGACATGAAATCACTGATGGTTGAAGAAATGTTCATTCTCTGGTCTGCCATTGGATTCTCTGAAGTTACAGCTCTTACACCGAAGATCCAGCTTGGGAAGAGTTAGGGGCCTCTGGACTTATTGGTCACCTCAAAGTGATTTTCATGTTTTACAATTTCTTTTCAGGCAGTTAGCTTCTTCCAAAACCAATGAAGGCCTAGGATTCCACACTGGAAAAGTTAAGCTTGGGTCCAAACGTATGCACTCTAGCCAGCACCACTGTGGCTCACAGGGAGCACCCGTGCCCACGCCAGCACTTGGATCCCACAGCGGCGGCGGCAGTGAGTCCGGTGCAGTTAAACAGACACCTCCGTTGCTGACCTACTTCCTGCCTTCCAAAAGAGTAATAATATTTTTAATGAATATCATATATATTTTTGGGAAACTCCTACTTCTAGGCCATGTATTTTTCATCTTTGGACCATCAATACCTAGCATAAAGTATGGCATACATAAGCCCTTAATACATTTTTATTGAATTAAAAAATAAACACTGTAAGCACCTGTCTGTGTCTGACTAGGTGAGGTGCTAGGGATTAAAAGACAAGAAGATACAGTTTCTGCCCTGAAGGAAGTTACAGACCAGTAGAAACCATGCATATAACCAAAGACAGTATGATAGCTGACATATGGGGAATGTATTCAAGGTACAGTGAGGTTTGGGAAGATTCAGGAGAGTCTTTACAGAGGAAGAGTGCTTGAGCTGAGGCTTGCAAAGAAAAAATAGCTGGACAAATAAATGAGACAGGATGTTCCAGGAATATGTGACACTATTTTCAAAGAGGCAGAATATATGATAATTAGAAAAACATAATAGTAACAGCTAATATTTATTGAGCACTTCGAAGCTTTTTATATGAATGAATTCATTTAATCATCATAACAGTCCTTTGCCCAGTTTGCTAAGGAGAAAATGCAAGAGAAAAAAAGCAGAACATAAGGCAGGCAAGATAGAGATCATGAAAAGATTTACATGACACAAAAAAGGATTTCAAATTAATTCTGCAGGAATTTCCCAATGAGTGGAGTACATATGGTGTACATGTGAAAATAGTTAAATAACACTAAATTACACTGTGAGGAAGTTAGTCCTATTCCAATTTTCTTTCAATTCTCTGATTACATCATGGAGAACATATCAATTTTGTGCTAAAATGCCTCAATACTGGCAACTTCTGAGAGAAAAAGTCAGATTATAAGCCTCAGGCTCACCTTCATCAGACAATATAGACAATCCCCAATTTACGACAGTTTGACTTATGTTTCTCAACTTTACATTGGGTTTCTTCGAGTATTAAATGCATTTTGACTTATAATATTTTAAGTTATGATGGGTTTATCAGGACACAACCCACTGTAAATTGAGGAGAAATCTGTATAATGATTAGCCAGAATTTAATAATACTAATTTGTTTTCAATTTGTTTATTTTATGCTTACTTGTAATCTACTCATTTTCCATTTATGGCAATGATAAGTTTTTATTTTAAAATAAAATTCTTAAGCATGATATCAGCAAGATGGTGGAATAGGAAATCTCATGCGCCACTTCCTGTCACAGAAAGTTCAACTAGCAACTATACACAGACCAGACCATCTTTTTATAAACCCAATACTTGCCAACAAGCCTGAGATGTCTGTGTGGTCCAAAGAACTGAATGAAAACTGAATATAAGAATAAGAACAATTATCTGTCTTTGGCCATACCACCAGCCTCTCCGTAAGTCAACACAACATTAGACAAATGATTTTTCTGGGCCTAGAGTTGCTACAGGGGAAAGGAAGGCCAGAAACAGTCATCCAGCTTCCCTAGCATTTTGAGATTCTTCTCAGGAAGCCCACTCCAGTCTCATCTCATAGAGAACAATAAGGAAAATGGCATGGTTTGACCACTGGAGTCAGGTAGAAACAAAGAAAGGAGGCAGAGGTCATAGTACCAGCACCATGAATCTTGGTGGTATCTCTGTGTTCCTGCCAGCTGTGGAATCCAAAGAAACCAGCAAATTTCATAGCCCACAATACTAAGCTAGTCACTTTCAGAAACACAGTGGGTAGCAGGTTGTGTCCCAAGACAGCTAGTCTTCATGCCTAGCCTCAGAGGCTCCCGGTGACCCCAACCAGGCATGGAGATGCCCATCTCTACCCATTTCTAAGAAGCAAAGGGACAAGACCAGCTTGATGATGTAAGTCAAGCAGCAGCTATAACCTACCAAAAGCCCATCCCATGGCTTCACCCTCACAGGGAAACAATCCTCAATCATGCTCTTCGAAGGAGCATTGCCCCTGGTCCCACCTATCATAAGCAGCAACTCTGCCTAAAGTCAGAGGACAGCTTATGGTCCTGCACAACTAAAGAAACCAAATAGTGAAATTGTTTATTAAGGGAATATACTGTGATTGACCTGACCAGAAGATATCACAGTACTGCCTGATAGCAGAGCCCAGCCAGTAATCTCATCAGATAGTGCAGCCCAGACAGTATCTGATACCAGATGTTGACGTCAGATGATATGAGAGCAAAAGCGGCATCCCAGCCAACTAGAGAACCCATAACAAGCTCTGCCTGCTGGGGTCATCACCAGCTGGTCCTTCCAGAATCACAGGATGGACTAAATAGTGAAGATCTATTCCTGTCTCAAAACAAACTTAAAGAACAGAAGAGGGGCTGTTTTGCAAATGTGCAGATAAAAATGCAAGAACACAAGGATTACAAAAAAGCAAGGAATCATAACACCTACAAAAGAGACTGATAAAGTGCCAATGATAGACCCCCAAAGAAGAGGAGATCTATGAAATTACTGACAAATAATTTAAAATAATCCTGTAAAAGATCAATACAGGAGTATACAAATATAAATTTAATGAAATTTGGCAAAACAATGCACAAAGTGAGAAGCTCAACAATGAAATAAAAACATTAAAAAGAATCAAGTAAGATTCCTAGAGATGAAGAGTACAATGACTGGACTGAAAAATTCAGTAAAAATTTTTAACAACAGGCTCGATCTTTCTTCTGATGGAATCAATGGGCCAGAAAATAGAAAATTTGAAATTATCCAGTCAGAGACGCAAAAAGACAAAGACTGAAAAAGAATGAAGAAAACCTACAGGAACTATAGGGCACCATCAAAACATCAAACCTTTGCGTAATAGGAATTACAGAAAGAGATAAAGGGCAAGAACTCATATTTGAAGATACATTGCCTAAAGACTTCCTTAATCTAGGGATAGATGCCAACATCTAGGTATAGGAAACACAGGGATATTTAATCAAATTCAACTCAAAGAAGAGTTCACCAAGAAACACAATAATCAAATCACCAAAAATCAAAGACAACACATTCTGAGAGCAGCAAAAGATAAGAAACACATCATGTAAAAAGGAGTGCCAATACAACTATCAGTGAATTTCTCAGCAGAATCCCTAGAGGCCAGGAGACAGTGGGATGATAAATTGGCACATAAATTGAAATTATTTTGGAAAACAAAAGAGAGTAGGGATAGCTAAACATATAAGACAAAATAGACTTAAAGTCAAAAATTGTAAAAAGAGACAAAGTAAGACATTATGTAATGATACAGGATTCAATTCATCAAGAGAACAGAACAGCTGTAAATTTGTAATTCCCCAATACCACACCATAATTTATAAAATATAGGATCTGGAGGGAGAGACAGATTGCAATATGGTAATACTTGGGAGCATCAATACTCCAGTTTGAACAATGGATATCTCATCTGGACAAAATATTAATAAGGAAATATTGGACTTGAACAACACTTTCAAACAAAGGAACTTAACAGACAAATATAAAACCTTTCATCCAATAGAAACAGAATACACATTCTTCTCAAGGGCACACAGAACATTTTCCAAGATAGATCATTAGGTCACAAAACAAGCCTCAGCAAATGTAAGAGGACTGAAATAGTTTCAAATCTCTTTTGACCACAATGCCATGAAACCAGAAGTAAATAGCAACAGGAATTTTGGAAAATTCACAGATATATGGAAATTAAACAAGATGCCCTGAACAACAAATGAGTCAATGAAGAAATTAAAATAAAAATTTTTTAAATATCTTGAAACCAACTAAAATGGAAATACAATACACCAAAACCTGTGGGATATGGCAAAAGCAGTTCTAACAGTAAAATTTGCAGCAATAAATGCCTAGATTAAAGAAAAGAAGAAACATCTCAAGTAAATAACCTAATGTTACACCTAAAGGAACTAGAAAAAAAACAAGTTTGTTAGTGCAAAGTCAGCAAAAGAGAAGAAATATTAAAAATCAAAGCAGAAATAAATGAAAGACCAGGCAGGGTGGCTCACACCTATAATCCTAGCACTTTGGGAGGATAAGGGGGCAGATCACTTGAGATCAGGAGTGTGAGAACAGCCTGCCCAACATAGTAAAACCCTGTCTCTACTAAAAATACAAAAAACTACCTAGTGTGGTGGCACACACCTCTCATCCCAGCTAGTCAGGAGGCTGAGGCAGGCAAATCACTTGAACCCAGGAGGTAGAGGTTGTACTGAGCTGAGATCACACCACTATCCACCACTTTCCCTCTGATGCATCACTAATTACTTTAAACCTGAGAGATTAAACTCTCCAAGTAAAAGGTAGAGATTAGCAGAATGAACAAGAAAACAGGATCCAACTATCTGCTGTTTACAAGAAACTCACTAAAGATCCAAGGACACAAATATGTTAAAAGGATAAAAAATATATTCCATGAAAATGGTAACCAAAAGAGACCAGTGATAACTATATTAATATGAGATAAAACAGACTTTAAATTTAAAAAATTATGCGACAAAGGACATTATATAATGATAAAAGTTTTGATACATCAAGAAGATACAGTAATACAAATGTTCTTTGCACATAATAACAGGCCATCAAAAGATGTGAAGCAAAAATTGGCAGAATAGAAGGGACTAGTAGTTAGTTCTATAGTATCAGTTGAATAATTCAATACCCCACACTGAACAATGAATAGAACAACCAGACTAAACATAAGTAAGGAAACAGAGAATTTAAACAACACAATAAACCATCTAGATCTAACAGGCATATACAGAATATACTATGCAACAGAAAAAAAAATACACACTCTTCTTGGGCACACAAGACATTCTCCAGGAAAGATCATATTCTAGGTCACAAAACAAGTCTTAATAAATTTTAAGAGTGAAATCATACCAAGTATCTTTTCTGATCACAGTGCAATCTAACTAGAAATCAATGACAAAATGAAAACTGGAAAATTCATAAATAGGTAGAAATTACATAGCACACTCTTGAAAAACCAAGTCAAAGAAAAAATAGAAAACAATATATATATTTTTCCATTTATTTTATTGCATTGTAGGTTTTGGGGTACATGCGAAGAACATGCAAGATTGTTGCATAGGTATACACGTGGCAGTGTGATTTGCTGCCTTCCTCCCCGTCACCTACATCTGGCATCTCTCCCCTTGCTATCTCTCCCCAACTCACCCCCCACCGTCCCTCCCCAATTCCCCCCAACTGACCCCAGTGTGTAGTGCTCCCCTCTCTGTGTCCATGTGTTCTCATTGTTCAACGCCCGCCTATAAGTGAGAACATGCGGTGTTTGATCTTCTGCTCTTCTGTCAGTTTGCTGAGAATGATGGTTTCCAGGTTCATCCATGTCCCTACAAAGGACACAAACTCATCGGAAAACAATATATTTAGACAAATGAAATCAAAAGTACAAGACACCAAAACTTATGAGATATGGCAAAAAGCTGACCTAGAGGAAAGTTTGCAGAGATAAATGCTTACATTTAAAAAAAGAAATAAGATCTCAAATCAGCAACTTAACTTTACAACTTAAGAAACTAAAAAAAGAAAGCAAATTAAACCCAAAACTAGCAGAAAAGCAAAAATAAAGATTACAACAGATATAGATAAATGAAAAAAGAAATATAATAGACAAGAACAACTAAATCACAAGTTAGTTCTTCAAAAAGATCAACAAAATTGGCAAAACTTTAGGTGGATGGACTAAGAAAAAAGAAAGAAACAAGACTCAAATTACTAATATCAGAAATCAAAGTGGGGACATTACTACTGATTCTATGGTTATAAAAAGGATTATAACAGAGTACTATATACTATATGCCAACAAATTCTATACCCTAGATAAAATGGAAAATTCCTAGAAACACAAAACCTACCAAGACTAAACTACAAAGAAATAGAAAATCTGAAGAGGTCTGTAACTAATGAGAAGGTTGAATCAGTAATCAAGAATATCCCAATTTAAAAAAAAAAAAAAAAGCCCGGGATCTGATAGCTTCACTGCTAAATTCTACAAAGCATTTACAAACTAACCCTAATCCTTCTCAAACATTTCCAAATAAAATTTTAAAATTTGATTCATCCTATGAGGCCAGCATTACCCCCAATACCAAAGCCATACAAAGACACTATAAGAAAATTACAGACCAATATCTCTCATGAACACTGATACAAGAATCCTCCAGAAAATGATAGCAAACTGAATTTATTAGATTTAAAAGGTTGTCCACCATGATCGAGTGATATTTATTCCTGGAATATAAGGATGGTTCAACATTTTAAAAAAATCAATCAGTGTAATACATCACACTAACAGAATGATGGCAAAGAACATTAACATTGCAATCGATGCAGTAAAAGCATTTGACAAAAGCAACATCCTTTCATGATAAAAGCCCTCAACAAACTAGGAACACAAGAAAACTATCCTCAATAGGATAAAAATCTTATGCGAAAAACCTACAATGAATATCATACACAATAGTGAAAGACTAAAAGATTTTCTCTAAGATTAGAAATAGGCAAGTATGCCCACTTTCACCACTTCTATTCAGAGTAGTACTGGAAGTTCTAGTCAGAGCAATTAGGTTAGAAAATGATAAAGCCATCCAATTTGGAAAGCAAGAAGTAAAATTATCCATTTTTCAGATGATATGACTTTATATGTAGAAAACCCCAATGACTACACACACACACGCATGCACGTGTGCACATGCGCGCACACACACACAAAGTTAGAATAAACAAAGTCAGCAAAGTGGTAAGATGCAAAGTCAACATACAAAAATCAGTTGCATTTCTATACCCTAACAACAATCAATCCGAAAAGGAACTTAAGATAACAATGCCATTAAAGCACTAAAAGAATAAAGCACTTAGGAATCAACTTAACCAAGGAGGTAAAAGACTTATTTATGCAATGAAATAACACATTTCTGAAAGAAATTACAGAAAACATAAATAAATGGAAAGACATCCCATGTTCATAGACTGAAAGATTTAATATTGTTAAGGTGTCAATACTAACCAAAACAATTTACAGATTCAGTGCAATCCCTATCAAAATCCCAATTATGGATTTGCAGAAGTAGGAAAATTCATACTAAACTTCACATAGAATCTCAACGGACCCCAAATAGCCAAAACAATTTTAAAAAGGAAGAACAAAGCAGGAGGACTCACTTTTTATTTCAAAACTTACTAAAAAACAAGAGTAATTACAACAGAGTGCTACTAACATAAAGACAGACATATAGACCAATGGAATAGAGAGCCAAGAAATGAATTCCTACGCATATGTGGTCAAACAACTTTTGACAACAATACAAAGAACACTCATTTAAAAAAGGACAGTCGTCTTTTAAAAAAATGAAGCTGGGAAAACTGAGTATCTACAGACAAAAGAATGACATTGGACCCTTAATTAACACCATATTAAAAAATTAATTCAAAACGGATCCATGACCTACATGTAACCCTTAAAATTATAAAACTCTTAGAGAAGACAACATAGGGCAAAAGCTTCTTGACAATGGATTTGGCATTGATTTCTTAGATATGACATCAAAGGTACAGACAACCAAAACATGACAAATTGGACTTCATGAAAATTTAAAACTTTATGCATCAAAAGTAAAAAGGTGACTCATAAAATGGAAGTAAATATTTGCAAATCATATCTATAATAAGGGGTTTATATATGAACTATATAGAAAACTCCTAAAACTCATCAACAAAACCACAAATAACCTAATTTGAAAATGAGCAAAGACCCTGAACATTTCTCCAAAGAAGTTATGCAAATGGCTACTAAGCACATGAAAAGATGCTCAACATCACTATTTAGTAGGGAAATGCACATCAAAACTATAATGAAATACCACTTGATACCAATAAAGGTGGCTATTACAAAAAAGAAACAGAAAATAACAAGTGTTGGTGAGGATATGGAGAAACTAGAACACTTTTGCACTGTTAGTGGAAATGTAAAATGATATAGCCACTGTGAAAACCAGTATGGCAGTTTCTCAAAAAATTAAGCATAGAATTACCATACAATTCAGTAATTCCACTTTTATGCATATATCCAAAAGAACTGAAAGTAGGGTCATGAAGAGGCATTTATACATCCATGTTCTTAGCAGCATTATTCACATAATACCTAAAACATGAAAATAGTCCAAGTGTCCATCAACAAATGAACAGATAAACAAATGTGGTATATGGTAAAATATTATTCAGCTTTAAATGGGAAGGAAATTCTGAGATATACTACAACATGGATGAACTTGGAGAACATTATGCTAAGTGAAATAAGCCAATCACAAAAATACAAATACTATATATATGATTCTACTTATATGAGGTACTTAGCATAGTCAAAATCATAGAGGCAGAGAGTAGAACAGTGTTTTCCAGGGGCTGAGGAGGGGAGAAGGAGCTATTGTTTGATGCAGTCCAGTGTTCTACCACTGAGATATACCCACTGTTTAATGGATATAAAGTTCTAGTTTTGTAAGATGGAAAGAGTTCTGAAAAATAGTGGTAAGGCTGGGCACAGTGGCTCACACCTGTAATCCTAGCACTTTGGAAGGCGGTGGCAGGCAGATTGCTTGAGCCGTGTGGCAGGTTGATGCTGCAGTGTGCAGCGATCGTGCTACTGCACTCCAGAATGGGTGACAGAGTGAGACCCTGTCTCAAAAAAAGAAAACAGATGGTAGTGATAGTTGCACAACCATTTAAATGTACTTAATACCATTGAACTATACATTCATAAATGGTTAAAGTGGTCAATTTTGTTATGTGTATTCTGCCACAAAATAAAAATTAAAAAACAGAATTAACACATGATGAATATTAACAAGTTTCTATAAGACTACATATATTTCTTAGCAAAAGATAAATACCCAAATAAAAGAATATGTAATGCTTACAAAATTCTTGAGACCTTTCTACTTACTTGCT